GGGGGTTTGAGGATAATTTCTTTTTTTGTAGTGGATTAGGAGCTAGGGTGCTAACTACAAGGTCAGCAGTTAAATACAATCACTGCTCCACAGGAGATGAGACTTTCTGTTTCCGTAAATATTACGTCTCAGAAACCCACAGGGGCAGTTTTAGTGTGTCGTGTATGGTTGCTATGAATTGGAATCAAGTCAAAAGCAGTAAGGATATTTGTTTCTTTGTTTGGAGAAGAGACCATAGCTAGGCTAAAACTGTCCTTAAAAGGCACTGTGTAGAATAGAACGAGGCTTTTCAATTTGGATGTACCAAAATTATACTAAATTAAGACCCAGGCTTGTGGCACTAGGATAGGATCTGGACCTTTGAAGTTCCGGGTCCTCTGTGGTTCTGATGCACAGCAATGTTTGGAGAAGCACTGGTTATGGAGCAGCGGTCCTCAAAGACGGCTCTGTCACAATCTTGGGAAGCTCTCAAAGCACAGATGCTTGTTCCTACTCTCGTATTCTGATTCAATTAGTCTGGGGGCTGTGGCTTAGCTATCAGGGGGCTTCTAAAGCTCCCAAGTAATACTTTATGCAGCCAAAGGTTGAGAGTTAAGGAACCAGAAATCAAATCAAAGGATGTGGCAAAACTACTTTAATTCAGTCAACTATTAACAATATTAAAAAGTTGTGCTGTTCATAGGACAGACACCACCCATCCACTCCCCAAATGGTCTTCACTTTCTGGATCACGGTCATTGTAATCTTGTATTTAATTCATTTCACTAAAGGTATTAGAAGGAGTAAGTTACATGAAGATAGAGATCCTGGTTCTGGTATGGTTTTTGACAAATTCTAAAAATATGTTGTAAGAGCTCAAAGAAATAAACAAGCTTTAAAAAATAAATACTGGTCTCTAACATACATAATTCCCATAGGAGCCATGTATTCCAAAGTGGGATTTTAAGTTTACATTCCTATACAAGGAGGAAGCAGGAAAGTATAATGATGGATTAAAAAAATGGTTCAAAGCCTTACAGCGGATCTTCATTACACGCATCCTCTCCTTTGAGAATGAGAATTTTCAATCAATAGCAGAACACTGGATAAGAATACTTGATGAAAACTAACAACACAAACTTAATTTATTTCTAGTCAACCTGAGCTAAAACAGAGATCAAAGACTAGCTTTCAGTATGGACTAAAACTCAATGCAAAGAAATCCAAATCCTGACAACTGGACCAATAAGTAACATCATAATAAATGGATAAAAGATTGAAGTTGTCAAGGACGCGCAAACATAACAATTATTGTGGTGGTGCGGGACTTGACAGCACTTCTTTCTGTTGTACAGTCACTATGAGTCACAATCGATTCAATGACATCCAACACCAACATCTTGTTTATAGTCCTAGTAGTGTAGTGGGTGAAGCACTGGGCTGCTAAGCATGAGAGGTTCAAGCCCACCAGCTGCTCCGCAGGAGAAAGACAAGACTGTTCCCATATAGAGTTATAGTCTCAGAAACCCTAAAGAGGAGTTTATCTCTGCTGGCATAGTGGTTATGCATTGTGCTGCTCACCATAAGATCAGCAGTTTAATGCCACCAGCTGACCTTTGGAAGAAAGATGAAGCTTTCTACTCCCGTAACGTTACAGTCTTGGAAACTCACAGGGACAGTTCTACCCTGCTGGCAGTTTGCTTTGGTTTTATAGGATTACCGTCACCATGGTATGTCCAACAAGCAACTTTATGGTTGTGTTAGTCCGGGTTGACTAGAGAAACAAATTCATAGACACTCATATGTGTATAAGAAAGAGATTTATATAGAGGAATTGTATATTAAGAACACATCCCATGATGGCAACAAATGTACAAATGTGTTTGACACAATGGATGGATGTATGGATTGTGATGAGTTGTATGAGCCCCCAATAAAATTATTTTTTTAAAAAGAGTTGAAATTAAAAAAAAATTCTCCAGCTGCCTATAAATCTAACCTAAACTTTATGCTGAAATCAAATAAAGATATCAAAGGAAAAACAAACACATCCAGCCCAGTCCAGATCAAGTACATAAGTCTGATATTAGCCCATATATCCAACACTGGTCTATAAATTCCTCTTCAGACTCACACAACAATGCAATGACACCAAATGCAGGAAGATCATAGGCCAGTGGGTGGAACATCTTGTGGGCCCAGTGGCAGTGGAAGCATCTCGGCGCTGGCATGGCTCTCCACATGGCTTTTCCAGCTCCAGGACTCTGGCTCCATCAGTGTAGCTCCACGTGGCTTGTCAACAGGAATGTCTCATAGGGAGAGTATGTGTCCTGCCTTCCAGAAGGAAGACAGGAGTCCCAGAATCCTCAGAAGGACATTCTCACAAAGAGGGCTCAATGGCTATGACCTGGTTAACAGAATAGACTACCCCTTCATTTCAAGTTATAGTTTACCATATATACTCAAGTATAAGCCAATCCGAAAATGAGCCGAGGCACCTACTTTTACTATAAAACTACATAAAAAATGTGCTGAAAAACTGAGCTTACACACGAGTATATACGGTATGTAACTGCCACAATGGCCAAATCTAAATATGTCTTTAAAAGCAGGTACCTCCAAAAACGAAGCTACATTGCACGATGAAAGATTGATGATGAAAATAAGGATGATGGGGGATGAGAGAAATATTTGTCACCATGAACAAATTTACTTTCTACAAATGAGAATTCTAGAACATTCCATTGTTTTCGATGGGAGACTGTTGTTGTAAGAAAGGATTGTGGCATTTTAATCTACACAGCCTGCTGCAAATTTTAACTGTGGTCATGAAATAAAGTTACTGGGTACATCGGATTTATCAGAAGTTGTGAAGTCTGTTCCAGATACAGAAAAGGTGGGAGTTCACCCCCATCACTTGGCACCAGGACTTAGGGAAGATGTGATATAAGCACTTCTCTCCCTACATAAGAAAGTGCATCCAAGAAAGTATGATAAGCTTATCTCCTTGCAGCCCACAGGTGACTACCAGGAATCCGATGTCTCCATACAGAGAAGGCAGTCCCAGCATATTTCCTTTTCCTTCATTAAGCAATGATCTACACAGAACACTGCCTTCCTCAGAGCAGCTTCCTTGTGTTTGAAATGACAGAAGCACCAACAGCTGTCAGACAAGTCCCACCCCTGGCAACCTCACGTGTGTCTGAGTGGAACTGTGCTCCAGAGGATTTTCAATGGTCACTTTCTCACACGTGGATCATCAGGCCTTTCTCCTGAGCTGCTTCTGGGTGGGCTCTTTGGGTTACAAGAGAGCAGATAACCATTTTTGCACCACTCAGGGACCTGACATTACAAATGGTTTAAAAGTAATAACCTACAGGCCCTAGACCTTCCGTAAACACACACAGCAAACACAGGACCATGTACCTCACTCTTTTAGTGCTCACTTTATTTAAATTTTGTACAGAAATCTATGATTCCACTGAATCTAATGTGCATTTTGTGCATTAGTACACTGGGGCAAGGAATACACACACACACACACAGTATCTTAGTATATCCGTATCTCTCATTTTCCATTTACACACACACTGTGCCCTATGCGTGTTGTTGCTGGGTGACTTTGAGCTGGCTCCGACACAGTGACCCTACGTGCAACAGAACGAAGCACTGTCCGCTCCTGTGACATCTTCACCATTGTTGTGAGGCGTGAGTCCATTGTCACAGCCACGACGCCAATCCATCTCATCGAGGGCCTCCTGTGTTTTCCCTGATCTGCACTTTACCAAGCATGCCATCCTTTATCATTCATGCATAGATATACATAAATACACAGTTAACTGAGCTACACGTTAATGTGCTAGCTTTTTATAGATTCTCTTAAGACTTACAATTACACATATACACACAAATAGGATGAATACATTGGAAGGGGGCTTAAAATATTTCATATCATTCAGTGAAAACAAATAACACACCCCACTGTGACAGACTGGTGTAACTCATGTATCACTGTCATCTTCCAGCTCCTGAAGTCAGGAATATTATTTTTACTTTTGTCATATGGCAAAGAATGAAATTCTATGAGTTTTCTCAACGAATATACTGACAGAAAAATAGTAATCAAGATTTTGTGTGAGAGAGACTGAGATTGGTGCAAGGATTTTTAAATGCTCTTGTCTTTTTGAATTATAACATTTTGCATCTAAACTAGAAGCAATACATTCTTTAACTCTAGTGTCTGTGTAGTACATATTAAAAGGAAGAACAGGATTGGATTGGGTCAAATGCACACTATTAGAGTAGAAATACTGGCTCCTAGTTGTATTATCATTTTCACATTTATTTTATAAAGCACTGTTGTGTAGTATATTTAGTCATTATTCTTACTCCTCACAATTTAAAATTACAATTAGACAAACAGCATAATAAATTTTAGTTTGATAATTAGCCCTTTCCAAAAAATCATGCTATGGTTTACAAAGTTAATTGCACTTCTGATCAAAACAACAAAAAGATTTTCCATAGGGGGGTAGTAGTGGTGCTTAGCTTTAAAACAAGTTAAAATAAACTTAAATTACTAAATAATAATTCTCATGTGTATGACACATTAGCTACATCACAGTGATGTTTGGTCAGTTTTTGTTAGAATCAAATAAAAATCATTCGGCTCATGATAATAGTAAATATATACCTAGACACTGAAGTAAACCAAACTGCCGAAATGATCTCTTGTCATTGCCTTGGAAAGGAGGCAGGAAACATTGATGCAAGAATCTGCAAAACACAGAGAAATTTAATGAGACCTTTATAGTGCTATGAGAATATCAAGATAAAGAGGAGGAACTTTATTAGTCACTTTGCATATTAAAGAGGTAAAGTAATTGTAAAGACTAAAGATAATAATTCAATTAAAAGTAACTTTAAGGAACATTAACCTATATGCTAAGGGGTTATTGCTGAATCATGAAATATGTTTACATAGCTCTAACAAAGTCATCTCTAATAAATATGAATTTAAAGCAGTTACATTCACTCTGGCACTAAGGCTGTAGAGCACAGGTCAGCAAATTACAGCCAGATGTAGCCACTCATCTGTGTCATTACAAATAAAGTTTTATTGGAATAGTCATATTCATTCCTATTTATATTGTAGTGTCTCTGTCTGCTCTACAACAGAACCATGGAGCTTCACAAAGACTGGGTAGTCCTCAAAGCCTAAATATTTGCTATCGAGATTTTAGCGGGGGTGGTGTAGATCCAGTCCCCAGGACAGTCAGCTGGCAATCTAGCTGAAAACCAAGCCAGTCTGTATATTTGAGGATTTCTCCTCATTCTATAATTCTGAGTTGGACACATTGAAAGTCAAGGGGTATTATATTTATCCATTTGGCTGCCCACGTGTAAAATTCTTTTATTAGTAAGCTGTCATTAAAATGTGAGAACTGACATTCAAGTGAGACTGTACTGAGGCGCTGGAGCCTTGAGCCATCTGGTCCACCCTCATCCAGAAGCACCTCTTCCTGTTCTCAGTCACACATGCTCTTTTGACTCTCTTGCAACTGTCAGTCTAGTTGAATTGGGGAAGACAACACGACTTGGTTAAACATTAACCAGAAGTAAGATGATCACTTCGGTAACCCAATGTGGTCAGAATAGAGTATTATTTATAACACTGCCTTTGTCCTTGACAGAAATGTGAAGAATATATAAATCAAGGTTCCAATTCCCTTCCAGGTATGACTAATATATTCAAACTGCTCAGTTTAGTCATCAGAATTGGACAAAGGCTTAGAGGGCATGCAAACAACGCTGATCTTGCAGATAAGGATCCTGGCAGAGCCAGTTCTGGAGGGACTTTCCTGCACATGCCCTACAGCTCAAGACAGATAGGGCCAGGATTGACATCCGGGTCTCTTAGTTTCTAGATCCAGTACCTTTTCCTTATTTCTCTAATCTTCCTCAGAGTATGTGAAACTGCATAAGTTATACAGTATACAAAAATGTATTATTAATATTATCTAATGTTCTCTATTGATCTTACACAGATAACTCTTCAATAATCAAAGGATTTAAAAAAATGAAGATATAGGGATGTTACAATGGGAAATGTACAGGTACCAAGTACATAGTGGAGCAAATAAAATATGTACAGGAATTTTTAAAGAATATTTTTTTTCTATGCTGCCAGTACATGTATGCCTAACTAGGAGAACGAGCTGTGTTTGCTAGAATAGAGCATGCTAGTGAAAATTAACGTTTATACTATCTCTCAACTGAAAAACAGAAACTCCCCCCACTCCCATAGGACACAAAAGAGTAATGCTAGATATAATCAGTTAACAGGTTAGCAAGAGTAAACAACGAAGAAGACCCTGCTGCCACTGCGTCAATTCTGATTCATTGCGATCCTCTAAGACAGGACAGAACAGCCTCCACAGGGTTTCCCAAGTTGTAAATCTTCCAGAAACAGACTGCTTCATCTTTCTACCTGGTAGATTCGAACCACTGACCTTTAGGTTAGCAGTCCCATGTTATTGCACCACTAGAGCTCCTTTAGTATGAATAAGCAACAACAAAACAAAACCCCCAAAGCCCACTACTATCAGTCCATTCCAATTCATGGCATTGCTACATAGGGTTTCTGAGGCTGTAACAGAGGGTTACAGAGGGAGAGCCTTCAACTTTCACCCATGGAGTGACTGGGTTTGAACTGCTGGCCTTGAAGTTAATAAGCCTGTTCTTACCCAGTAGCACCACCAGGGCTCAACAACAACATATATATTTGAACTTCTGACCTTTAGGTTAGCAGTCCCATGTTTACTCTACTGCCTCACCAGGGATCCTTGAGTATGAATAAAAGAACAACCCCACCTCCACCCCCCACTACTATCACGCCCATTCCAACTCACAGCAATGCCACGTCGACCCTCATCTTCCTCACAGGTAGCAGTCCAACACTTACCCAACAGGGCTACCAGAGTTCCTTTTTAGATGAATAGCATTGTAAAATGACTTATTTTTAAAAACAGATGGTGAGAAGATTGAGAAAGAGTGAGACTGAGAGGAAATAGAATCTCCTGTTCTACCTCATTCTCTGAGGGATATGAAGCCAATCTGTGTACCAAAACTTGGACCATCTCGCACATGGGAAAAAAACTTGTTGGGATGGCAGGATGTACAGAGGTTGAGATCTTGGTTCTGGTCCTGAATATTCTGTGGAAGAACTCCTCCTCGTTCTAGAAGAACCCTTGGGATAAAGATATTTCAAAAGATAATATGAGTTTATTTTACCAATAGCCCAAACAATATGAGGAAATAAGAATATTGGTATAAAACAGTTCAGAGCAGCAAAGCAAATTGCTCTTCAATTCCTTGGACTAGTCAGGAAATGGGAGATTTTATTAACACGGATCTCATTAGTCTTACATGCATTGAACAACATTCCACGTTGTGTGGCAGGCATGAATCTGGGCACAGAGAATTTTATAATCAAAATCACTTAGTCAAGTGGAGACTTCGAGAGTGATTTCTAAATAGTTGTAGGCAAAATTCCCTCATTTCAGAGGAAGCCAGCTCCTATCTCTTTGCTTCCTATTAACTTCATTTTCCAAGGAAATTTGCTTTTCCATAAATATTTCATTTGTGAGTTTTGACTATATATTAGTGATACCTATTCCACATCATTTAAAAAAACGAATTGTAACCCTTTATACACATGTACTAAATGAAGCAGAATATGTCCAAGGTTTTGCTGACCAGAATTTTTCCCCTAAAGATATTAATAGCAAAGCTTCATAAATTCGAGAATGTAAGATATCATGAGAATGTGCCTCCAAGTTGATTGTGTATATGTGCCTGATACTTTATTAAGAAGTATAGCCTCCACTTAGAGAACAAGAATCATTTAAAATCATGAGTTCCATATGGTTTATTATAATTAGGAGAATTTAGCTGATACATGGTTGTGAAGTACAGTACCTGCTAACTTTATCCAGAACTTAAAGTAGATCTAATACAACTATATTCCAACGGTTTCTTCCTTTATTTCTGTCAGAGATATTAGAAAATTTGTTGTCCAAATTAAAATGCAAATACTTTCATATACGAGGACAAGTCAAAAAGCATTGGTACAAAATCATAGAAACTTTTAATAAATGAAAGTATCAAAATTTGAAGCTATGGTTTTTCAACATATCTAGGTCTAATCACGTCTGAAGGCAGTGTTCCAATCACTCGAACTCTTTCCCACAGTATCCTGTGCTGATTTACACTACAGGACATCAGCTGTTTGGGCATCCTCCACAGTCTCAAATCGGGCTCCTTTGCAATATTCTTTGAGTTTGGTGAACAAGAAGTCTGAAGAAGCAAATCAGGGCTGTAGGGTGGACAGGAGAAGCTTTACAAAGAACGTAACGTTGCAAAGCCTTGCCACCCTCAAAGCGCAGGCAACCCAGTGGTCACGATGGAGACAAATCCTGAGTCGACTTTCCTGGACTTTGTCTAACAAGGTAGTTTCTTATTTTCTTCAGATTTCTTCACACTCAGCTCAGTGTTCTTTTAGAAAAACCGATCCAGAGGACTCCCTGGGAATCCCAAACAACAGTTACTATAACCTTCTGCCTTATTTCAAGTGTCCTGGCAGACCCTCTCAGAAGTCAACGTTTTGATTAGACTTTTTTAAAATTTAAGTACTCTAACTAAACTTGTGTGCAGCCATCCACTGATCACCTAGACATGCTTAAACATGCTCTCTTTGGAATACACTGGTGTTTGTATGAACCGGAAGATTAGCAACAATACTCTGTGACTTATCCTCCAATAGAGTGGATTTTTGTACATGTGTGGATGCCAGCTCCTGAAATGCTGACCACCAGAAGTTCTCCTGGTGTTACTCATGATTTTCTAAAATGATTTTGACTTTAGCAGCAATAAGCAAAAACCCAACTTGCAGTTCCAGATGGAATCAAACAAACCTGGTGGCTTTACGGATGTCAACGTAGGGATTTGGTGATTCAAACAGCCGCACACATTCGGGATCAACATTATGAAATGCCTCTGCGGATTCTTTGGGAAGAGTGAAGCAGCAAGGACCCACAGAAGGGCCCAGTACAACAATAATGTCTTCCACACTACAGCCATATTCTGCCATCATAGCATTCACTGTAACCATAGCAACACCCAGCAAAGTACCTTTCCAACCTGACAAACAGGGAGAAAAGGGGAAGTTATAGCGTAACACTAGGTGAAATGTAAGCTAGGTAAATTAACTTACAAGTATATTAAAAATTAACATTAGCTTGTATATTTTTTCCAAGTCCAGAAACAGTATATATACCACAACATTAATCATTATCTTATAATACTGGTTTTTAAATAAAATATACTTAAAATAAACATTTAATGAGACTTCTCTTTCACGTCTTTTTACATATATCCTATACTTCAAGTTTCCCTCTTCATCTTCTCTTCAGCCCACTCACTTTTTACAATAAAATAAACCTGTTGTATTTCAATTAACAGTCCTTTTTCACACCCTCTCCATTTACTCAACTTTCCTTTCCAATTGGCACCACGATTGTTTGAAGAGCAAACTACAGTCTTTAAACTTACTCTCTTCCAGTGACCAAAGAGAAATCTAAGAATAGGTTTGGTAACAAATAGTATTCCTATTTTATATCCAAGAAATAAGATTCAAATTTAAACTAACTTTTGACAACCTCAGAAGGCAAACCCAGTCAACTCATCATATTAACTTTGGTAAGTCCAAAGAAAAATGCATCCCTGTCTTCCAGATCTATGGTCTATAAAGCAGTGTAGGCTAAGGTGAGCAGACGGCCCGCTTTTGGCGGGACAGTCCCGATTTTTAACAATTTTCCCCACGTCCTGTGGCATTTTAAAAAAGTCCCGATTTTTTGAAAGAATGCATGACAAGCTAGGGGATACGGTTTTTGGCTGCCATGTGCGATTTCGCCAGGATATGAGTTTTATCAATGGTGTCCCACTTTTGTCCCGCTTTACCACTGTTAAAATCTGGTCACCTAAATGTAGGCATATGTCTACAAGCAGAAGGGAATCAGAAAGGATATCCCTCATTCAAAATAGAATCATATACACTTGCAATTTAAATATCATTTAAAAATACATACAGAAACCAAAATTCTATAACATTAATATGTTATAAACCCGACTAATGTTGAGCATCCACCACGAGTCCGTCACTTTGTGGCGGTGCTGCTGGAAGCTATGTCACTGGTAATTCAAATGGCAGCAGGGTCACCCCAAGCGAACGGTTTCAGTGGACCTTCCAGACTAAGAACAGACTGTGAAGAAGGAATTAGCTGTCCACTTCAGTAAACTTAGCTCCTAAGAACCTATGCGTGACATGAAACACTGCCAGGTACCGAAGGCCGAATGAAGAGAAGCAGAACATCGTCAGAGACAGTGCCAAGATGAGTGTCTCAGGTCAGAAGGGGCTCAAACGAGGACTGAGGAAGAGCTGCCTTCTCAAAGGAGACTCGACCATAATGACGTGACTGGAGAACAGGCTCTGGGACTTTCACTTGCTGATGGAGCTGACTCAAAAGAAGAAACAGCTGCACAAACCTATCAATAATCACAACTTGAAATGCCTGGAGTATGGAATCTAGGAAAATGGGAAGTCATCAAAGAGGAAATGGGATACATAGACTGATGTCCTAGACATCGTGAGCTGAAATGAACTAGTAATTGCCATTCTGAATCAGAAAACCATATGGTTTACGAGGCTGGAAATGGCACAATCAAGAGGAATGGTGTTGCATTCATCTTCAAAAAGGATATTTTAAGATCTACCTTGAAGTCCAGTGCTGTCTGTCATAGGATTATACCAGTGTCCTCAGTCTGAAACTGATGAAACATGCAACTAAGATGCATTGATAATTATTGGTGATTGTAATGCAAAAGTTAGAAATGAAGACAAAACAGTAGCTGAAAAAAACAGGGCCATGGAGACAGAAAAGAAGCTGGAGATCACATGATAGAATTTTGCAAAATCAATGACGTTCACAGCAATATGGACTTCTTTCTCAAATGGAATCCACAGAAATCAAATTGTGATGGAATCCATAGAAATCATCCATGGAAGAGATGCTGGAAAAGCTCAATTTTAGCAACTAAAGCCAGGCCACAGGCTGACTATGGAACAGACCATCAATTGTTCATATGTAAGCTCAGGTTGAAGTTAAAGAAAATTAAAACATCTCCATGAGAGCCAAATTACAAACTTGAGTAAATCCTACCTGAATTTTAAGAACATCTCAGGAACAGATTTGATGCATTGAACACTAGTGACAGAGTCCACTAGTACGTGGACTTGTGGCTCTTTGTGAGCTCCTGGATGAGCTCGCCCCGTGGATTGACCGTGAAGATCCGGGTTTCGGGGAGGCCCACCTGCCTATAGGCGAAGACATCATTGGGCCGGTTCCCGAAGGCAGCGTAGAAAGGCTGTCCCTGAGGCAGGAACAGCTGCTGGATGTCACTCAGGCAGGCGATCTTGAACACCTCTGGCTTCTTCTCAATGACCTCTCTGTGGAGGGCTGAGAAGAGGCTGCTGGGAGATAGTAGAATGGGGCCCTTGGGGAGGCCATAGCCCCGTTCGCTCACCCACCGCAAGTAGCCCTTGGTGAGGTCAGCCATGCCGATGGCCCTTGCAGAGCAGTACAGGAACTTGTACCCATTTAGGTGGATTTTGTGGTAGAGACTGGTGATGCCCGGGTGCGTCCAGTCTCTTCCCAGCTGGGGCAGGATGTGGCCCAGAGCATCAGACTTGGTGATGGTGCCTTCAATGTCCGAGATGACCACCTTGTCGTCCCATTTCCACAGGTAGATGGTGGCCTTGCAGCGGCAGGTGCCCTGGTACTGGGTGGTCACACTGAAGACCACGTCATTGGCCCCTTTGTGTAGGTTCAGGCACCTGATCTGGTCGGAGGAGAGGCGGAGGGCCTTCTTGTAGGTGGGTGTGTAGGCAGGAGGGGAGGGCGGCAGGGAGGGGGCCTCGAGGATCACGGGACTGTCTGGGCCGTCGTCCTCACTGCTCAAGACATCTGCCTTCCCCCTCCGCTGCTCCCTGGCGGTGGTCTCCCTCTGGGCGCTGTGCGCTTGAGGAGGGAGGTCCCTGCGCCTCCAGGAGAACCACCACCGTCCCCCCTTCCGGGGCATCTTCTCCTTCTCCAGCTTGTCCACAGCACTCTGAGGCAGGTTCTTCTGGAAGGCTTGGAGGGAGAGGATCATGGGGGCAGCCACAGCCCAATTATAATGCTTCTTGTTGATTTCCACCACGATGACATCACAAACATCACTCAGGAAGAAGGCCAAAGGCCAGTAAAAAGACAAGAAAGAAATAAAAGATTAAAGTGGATGACAAAAGAAACTTGGAAACCGTCCCTTAATCAGAGTACCTAAAGCAAATGGAAGAAATGATAAAGTCAAAGAGCTGAACAGAAAATTTCAAAGGTAGCTCAAGAAGACAAAGTAAAATGAAATGTGCAAAGACCTTGAGTTAGAAACCCAAAGAGAACACACTGGTATATCTTAAATGTAAGGAACCCAAGAACAAATTCAAGCCTGGAGACAATACTGAAAGATGCTGTAGTTAAAACTCTGAATGATACAAGAAGCATCAAAAGAATATAGGAAAAAATTCAGAGCCACTGTACCAAATAAGAACGAGTTGACATCCGACCATTTCTGGAAGAAGCATAAGTGCAGGAACCAATGGTGCTGAAAGAAGTCCAAGCTTCACTGAAAGCCTTAGCTTTCACATACAAGGCTTCACGAATTGATGGAATGACCAGTTGAAATGTTTCAACAAGCCGATGACTCTCACTGGAAGCACTCCTTCATCTATACCATGAAATTTGGAAGACAGCTGCTTGTTTCTTTGAAGTGAGGATGAACACTTTGTCTCAAGTACTTTGGGTATGTTGTCAAGAGAGACAAGTCCTTGGAAAAGGACATCCTGTTTGGTAAGGCAGTCTCCAGGGAAAGGGGAAGACCCTTAATGAGACGGATTGACAATGACTGTAACAATGGGTTCCAGCAGAACCATGATAATGTTGCACCACAAATAATCAGGCAGTGCCTTATCCTGCTGTACATCAGGTCACTGTTAAGAGGCGAAGCCAACTCGATAGCACCTAGAAACAAACAACACTAATCTAGCTTCTAGAATAACAAAGGCCGGGCAATAACAACCCTCTAAAACACAAAGGAATGCTGTCTGCTTGAGACAATGCTAGAATGTGACCCCTTTGAGGTACTCAAAATGCACGGTGAGGGTGTCTGTAACTCAAACACCCCAAAGACTGTGAAGATGGTACACAGTCACCATGAGCCAGAACCGTCCTGGCATCAAGTAACAACACGCTGTTGTTGTTATGTACCGTCAAGTCAGTCTGACTCATAGCAGTTGCTACGTACAACAGAAAGGAAAACTGCCCAGTCTTGCACCATCCTCACAATTGTGCTTATCTTTGAGCCAAGAGTTGCAGCCTCTGTGTTAATACATCTCCGGGAGGGACTTCCTTCATTTTGCTGCCTCTCTACTTTATCAAGCATGATATCCATCTCCAGGGACTACGTCTCTCCTCACATGTCCTAAGTCCCATCATTCTTGCCTCTAAGGAGCTTTATGACCACATTTCTTCCGAGACAAGTTTGTCTGTTCTTTTGGCAGTCTATGGTACTTCAATAGTCTTTGCCAACACGATTCAAAAGCAATAATTCTTCTAAGTCGTCTTTATTCAATGTCCAACTTTCACCTGCATATGAGGCAATGGAGAATGCCATAGTGCACCTTAGTCCTCAGAGTCACATGCTTGCTTTTCAACACTTTAAAGACATATTAAGGGTATACTGGCTAGGTTACTGCTTATTTGCCTGTCATACCCATTAAAAAGAAATTGCAACGAAACCGTGACAGCCAGAACTCCACGGAACTGTCTTATCTTTTCAGCTCGTGCAAGTATGCACATTTTCTGCCTCTGACAGGTACACTCTTACCACCTGTGTGTCATTTGTTTTAGTGGCAAGTATGTGTGCTGTTCTTCTGGGACAGGTTTCCCTGTGAGACAGCCTCTAGCTTTCGCATGTTCACTGTAAAATTTCCCCTATACTTTAAAAAATAGGAAGATCGCAACTGCCTGTATATACTTACCAGAGTGAGCAACCCCACAGGCTTTTTTGACAGGATCTGCAAAAACTATTGGTATACAGTCAGCACCAAGGGCTGCTATCGTGACTCCTCTCTGATTTGTGGTTATTCCATCATACGATTCAGGCTCCTTCCTTCCCATAATCCAGACGTCATTGGCATGGTCGGTCTAAGACCAAAGACAAGTATTAAAAGTACCTTGAGAGTGGGTTTCATTATACCATAAGTAGTTGCTGTTGTTTGTTAACTGGAAGTGTACACACACCTGTCCAAATCATAGGACCATTTTAAGATCACTCCCAAACTCAAACACAATTCCATCGAGCTGATTTTAACACTGGTTAAATACACCACTCCTACATTAAGGTACGAAAGGAACCCTGTGTGGTGTAGTGGGTGGAGCTAACTACAAGGTAAGAAGTTCAAAATCACTAGCCACTCCACAGAAGAAAGATGAAACTTTCTACTCCAGTAAAGATTCAGTCTCAGAGACCCAGAGGGACAGTTCTACTCTTCCAGAGTCACTAGGAGTCAGAAATGACTCCATAGCAGCGAATCTTTTTTTTTTTTTTTTTGTACGTACGATAAGAAAGGAGCCCTGGATGCAGTTAAGGCAACTCGGCTGCTAAGCGAAAGGCCAGCAAGGTTAACCTACAAAGGCCAGTGATTTCAACCTACCAGGAGCTCCAGGGGAGAAAAGAGCTGGCAATCCACTCTTAAAATTACAGAATGGGGAACCGTCCTGGGCAGTTCTACTCTAGTCTACAGGGATGCTCTCAGTCAGAACTGACTTGATAGCACACAGCAACATACAGTAAGTTACCAAGTATACCTAACATTTAATGTTTTAAAGGTTTTGACATTATAGTTTTTGAATATTTTATTCAAAATAAAATAGAGTGTAACATTTAGAACTCCATTGTGACCTACCATGAAAACCCCACGTAAACCTACTGCCATCCAGTCCATTCCAATGGACATTGACCCTACAGGACAAGGTAGAACTGCCCCTGTGGGTTTCTGGGTTTATAAATCTAGGCGCAGAAAGCCTCATCTTTCTTTCGCATAGCAGCTGGTGAGTTTGAACTGCCAACCTCATGTTTAGCACACTAAATAGGAATCCAGGATGCCACCAGAGCTCCTTGAACACTCTATACTCCATGAGTAAATCTCTACTGGCAACACTTTGCAGGACACACTACTTGATGAAAGGAAGATAAATTAATAGCCAGGTTCCAGAATATTCTTAACTTTTCCCATTCACATAAATCAGAATTCTCTAAGGGATACAGCACTGTTTCAATCTCACAAGGTGTGAGATTCTCTTAGTGTTGTTAAGCTAATAATGGCCTTTCTGCTTCCTCTATTCAAAACCTTCCCTTCTAAATAAAAAAGGGCAGGGGTATTATACTCTCTTGAAAATTAAGTGGGTTTTGGATGAGAAATGAGGTGGCTATAGGTGAAATATACATCTCACTGGATGATTTTTTAGGCTGTGGGGAACAGATATACAGAATCATGATTATCTGAAATTTTATTTAAAAACGCCAGATGCAAAAGCAAAATGGCATGATAAGCATCCATGTAGCCACTGACTAAGTCAAGAATGCACTTTAGACCTTGCACAACCCTAACACAAAGGCTTACCTTTATTCGGTAAAACTTCTCGGCATTAAATCCTGCAGCATTGGCCAACCTTCGAAGATTTTCTTGAACGACTGCCTGGGGATCTCTCCGTTTGGAACTACTGAAGAGATTTAATGAGCTGAGAGTTGGGATGTACGATATCCCACCTGCTCTTGTAGTAAATCCGTGTATGAAAACATCTATTGGAGCGTAAGTAGTGAATATGAAAAAGGATGCCACACAATGGACAATACAGTATTTAGCACACAAGGCCCTCAGTGAGACCTCCCTGCTTACTTCAGTCTGCACTTCGTCATCTGGCTTCCACTTGACAGCACTTTGCGCCTCAGTGTGTTCTCACATACTGTTCTGTGTTTGTCTTACCTTCTCTATGGGATTACTGCTCTTAAGGAAAAAAGTCATCTGCCCCATTTGTCTTTATATGCCAACAGCATACAGCTCACAGTAAATGTCTTGGGGGGAAAAAGAAGCCTGACTATTGTAAATGTCAACCTTTTTTTTTTTTTTTAAACATTTTATTAGGGGCTCATACAACTGTTATCCCAATCCATACACACATCAATTGTGTAAAGCGTATTTGTACATCATTTCTCAAAACATTTTCTCTCCATTTAAACCCCCGACATTAGGTCCTCATTTTTTCCCCTCCCTCCCCGCTCCCCTCTCCCACATGAGCCCTTGATAGTTTATAAATGGGTATTTTGTCATATCTTGCCCTGTCCGACTTCTCCCTTCACCCACTTTTCGGTTGTCTGTCCCCCAGGGAGGAATGTCAACCTTTTTACACATGCCAAATGAGTCCGCAAGTCAGAATTTCTACATAGAAGCTGCTCAGGGTCATAAATCTAATTTTAAAAGTGGACAGAGGAATTTGGCTTAAAGCTAAATTTGCGTAAGGAAATAAATGTACTTAGGTAGTGTGGCTTTGAAGGGTCTGAGGGCCTTGACACACCATGTTACCAAACCAAAAAACCCCTCACTGCCATCAAGTCCGTTACAACTCATGGGGCCCCATGCTGCAGCCGATGTAAAATCCCACCCTCGACAACAATCGAGAAAAGGAAGAAGGGCAAAACGGAGGCAAACAACTTCTTTTTGAAAGTTGATTTTTCATAGAAAGTAAAGGCGGATAGTGCGTAATCTACCTGGAATTGAAGGCGACCTAATAATGGTCAATTCTCCTTTCAGTGGGGGCAAACTTCTCAAATAGGTTTCTATTTCATTCTTGATTTCTTCAAATTCTTGAGATGTAATCATATTTATTTCAGTGGATTGTTTCAAGAGGCCTTCCTGCAAAGCCATGTGTAAATCTTCAAACTCAAAACTGTAAACATCAGTGAAGAGTTGATCAATAAAAGCCTTCAATAAGGTCTTCCTGTACATCGGTACGATTACCTTAATACTGCTCAAGTTTTTTTCATCAATTTTCTGTTTAATGGTATACAGAGAGGCAACCAGGCTGGAATTGCTAACAGTCTCGAATTCTCTCTCCAGGGCCAGTAATCCATTGGTTGTCTCTAGTCCACACTTAGCAAAGTCACCATCCCTTTCACTGCTGCTACTGCAAGACATTATGAAATAGAACTTGGCATTGGCAGCATGGGTGGATCGCCCGGCACTCAATGCTTTCATTAATATTTGGTGAGGAGAGCTATTCTGCGAGTTCAGCTTCAAACCAGACAGATCAATCAGCACTGCTTCTGCCATCCTTCAATACTGTAAAAACACTGTTCAGGGAAGATGCCTGTCCCAAGTAGGCCACCTGTAAAGAACAATTAGCATAAATAAGAATGTAAAATTGTATCAATCTTCCTTTGGGTATAGCAGAAAATTGTGGCTGCTTGAAAATGAACTGCATTGTTCTGAAAATGTGACCTGTGAAATAACAATTTTAGAAAGCACTTCTCTCCCCCCCCAAAGCTAACCTACCATCTGTCAAGTCATACCATTCAAAGGAAAGTGATGGGCTAATGTGTTTTGTGAGTCTTCATACATCTTTCCATAACAATAAAACAAGTGTGTATATAAAGTGAGATGTGAACACATTTCAAAGTCATTACTTGTTGACTTACACAGGCCCTGCATTAAAATGTGAGGGTGTTGACCTCATCAACCCTGCCCTGACTGTAACGTTAGGTCCCATCCAGTCACATGAAGTACCAAACCCACACTAAACAGGCTGCCACCTAGTCAATGCTGACTGATCGCGAACCCCAATGGGTTTCCAAGACTTCAAAAACCCAGTATTTCTCCTGCAGTGTTAGTGGTTTCGAAACACTGACCACTCGGATCGAAGCCCAACGCGTTCACTGGGTTAAATGGAGCTGCAGTTGAAAATGGCTTGTTTTAACGATTTACACAGAACTCCTAGTGGTGCAAACAGTTAAGCGCTCTGCTACACAAGGTTGGAGGCAGGAAGCCACCTAGCAGTTCTCTGCAGTCACCTGGCGATCTGCGGCCACAAAGGTTCTTGCAGGCGCTACTGGCCATTCACTTCGCTTGTTCTGAACAGCTCTGCGAAGTCAGCCCAGGCGGTCGCCTCCAACCCGTGCCTTTGCGTCCTAAATTCCCACAAAATGGGGCTGCGTTCTGCGCTTCCCTTTTCTCTGACACTGCCCGGTCTGTCCCTGCTGCTCCAATGCAGTCCGTGGACACACATCACCTGCCCTGGCACCCCACGGACGACATCGCGCCCCGGGACACTTTCTGTCGGAGAGACACGCCCATGGGTCCTCGCCTTCGCGACTTCCCAGTCGGAGGCGAGCTGACCTCCGTTGCGATATGGAGTCCTGGTCACCCTCAGTCTCTCCGGGGCCCGAATGAAACCTGGAGACAGCCAGTGTGTCAACTGTGACACCCACCCTACCGCACCTCACCGTGGACGCAGCTGGCGGGCACCCAGCCTCCGGTGGAACTCCCGTGAGGAGCGCGGCGGGCGGCAGGGGTCGGCCGGGGAGCCGCACGCAGGCAGAGTCCCGGAGACGCGGCCC